CCCAACTATTTTTCTTAGAGATGGCGTCTCTCTGTTGTTTAGGCTGTTCTTGAACTCCTGAGCTTAGGCAGTCTACCCATCTTGGCCTCCTAGAGTATTAGGAATACAGGCATGAGCCGCCATGCCTGGCTTTTTCCTTTCTCTCTTTTTTTTTGAGACAGAGTCTCACTTTATCGCCCTCGGTAGAGTGCTGTGGTGTCACAGCTCACAGCAACCTCCAAGTCACAGCTCACAGCAACCTCTAAATCCTGGGCTTGGACAATTCTCTTGGCTCAGCCTCCTGAGTAGCTGGGACTATAGGAATCTGCCACAATGCGGGGCTATTTTTGTTGTTGTTGTTGCAGTTTGGTGGTGGCCAGGTGGTATATTGGGCTGGTGCACTACCCACTCAGCCATAGGTGCCACCCTGCTTTCTCTTTAATAAAACCAAGAACTTTACTAACCAGCCTAAGCAAGAGCGAGACCCCATCTCTAAAAATAGCTGAGCATGGCTCAGCGCCAGTGGCTCAAGCGGCTAAAGCATCAGCCACAGACACCTGAGCTGGAGGGTTTGAATCCAGCCTGGGCCTGCCAAACAACAATGATGGCTGCAACCAAAAAAATAGCTGGGTGTTGTGGTGGGTGCCTGTAGTCCTAGCTAATTGGGAGGCGGAGGCAGGAGAATCACTTGAGCCTAGGAGTTGGGGGTTGCTCTGCGCTGTAATGCCACGGCACTACCCAGGGTGACAGCTTGAGACTCAGTCTCAAAAATAAAAAAGAAAAATAGATGAGTGTTGTGGCGGGCACCTGTAGTCCCAGCTACTTGGGAGGCTCAGGCAAGAGGATCACTTGTGCCCAAGAGTTTGAGGTTGCTGTGAGCTGTGACTCCAAGGCACTCTACCCAGGGTGACAAAGTGAGACTCTGTCTCAAAGAAAAAAAAACAAATTAAGAACTTTACTAAGAATTTCTAGGAGACCTTTCCTCAGGTATCATTGGCCTGAGCAGGGTTAAATCTCATTCCTCACCTCGGCCCTGGCAAGAGGGATTCAGTTCCCTTTAGAGCAGACAGGCCACATTGGTAAAGAAAGGTCACCTCCTCACACTATACCATACACCTGATTAGAGGGGAAGGGAAGGACACAGAATAGATGCTGGGAAGTAAACCTCAGTGACCATTCCTGGTAATGTTTTGGGTGGGACCTTGAGCTTCCTGGTGGGCTGAGAAGACGGAGGCTGTGTGTGGTGAGAACCTGCAGGTCCAGGGGAGGAGGTGAGGAACAGTCGGAAGGCAGAGGGACTGAGAGACAGTGCTGAGCCTGTGATACTGTCAAGGGTGGCCGCAAAGTGACTGATGAAAACTGGGCTTTGGGGCCCTGTGAAACCACTGCCAAAAACTTCAAGCCAAATCCTAGAAATAATTTGAAGTGGGTTTTGGATATTTATTTTCCAGCCAAGCACATATGTGTTCCTTATGAAAGAATATAGTATCTCTCCCTTAATAATAGTTTAAAAAAAAAAAAAAGGAAGTTTTCGTGGTAGAAAATGTGGAAAATACAGAAAAGGATTTAGAAACACTGAAAATCTTGTCATCTGTGTGGGGCCACATGTGAATCTGTCTGTTTCATGTACTAAGGTGGTAGGAACGGTGGAATCTAAACTGGGTAGGTTGCAAACTAGGAGTTTGAGGGGCTTATGTTCATGGAAGACTTCTGGAAAGGGGGGATTGTGCTGCCCTGGAAGTTGGGTTTGATTTGGCAGGCGGGGCTAAGTTGTAGCTCAGGCTTACCCAGTGAACTGTGAAGGTCCACACAGCTAGAAGCATTGGTCATGGGGTTGGGAGAGTGAAGCTGGGAAGGTGAGATGGTCTGTACTGTGGAAGGCCTCAGATGCAGTAGTCCCCCGGTCTGTGGTTTCATTTTCCATGATTTCAGTTATCCCCCCATCGAAAATATTAAATGAAAAATTCCAGAAATAATTCATTGGTTTTGAATTGTATGCTGTTCTGAATATTGTTATAATTGTTCTATTTTTAGTTAATCACTTACTGGGCCTAATTTATAAATTAACATTTATCATCAGTATTATTAATTAGAAAAAGCATAGTATGTTTGGGGTTTCAGGCATCCCCTGGGGGTCGTGGAATGTATCTTCATGGATAAATCCCACAGGGGGGGACTATACCATAAGAAAAGGCTGTGTTCTGCCAGCATTGGGGATTGTGTCTCACTATCTCACTTTTCTCCAGAGAGCACAGCACATGTCCCAGGTGTGTTTTTTGTGAGGGGAATCCCCTTCCTGGGCCTTTGGTGTCCCCTTAGCGTAGCACTGACACCTACTGCCCTAACTAGGTAGTGCAGCCTCAGCCTCCCTTGAAAACCCACTGTGTCTGGCTTGTAGCAGGAACTCCTCCTGAACACAGGCTAAACCTAACTTTACTTGCATTTCATGTGTCATTTCTTTTCATTTCATGAAACACATTTGGAGACTAAAGTGTTTAAGTTACAAATCTTAGGATCAGAATCAAAGGATATCTCATTAACCTTGAATATTGGGGTATTATTAATTGTTGCTCATTTTTCTTTGGGTTTTGGCTCTGATTTCTAGGTTTTCAAGCCTATGGCTGATGCTGCTGTGAAGATTGTAGAGAAAAATGGCTTCCGTGATAAGATTAAGGTTATCAACAAGCATTCTACTGAGGTGACCGTGGGGCCAGGTGAGAGCTACACATTCTGTGTAAAGCTTTATTTAGTTTTGTATGAGAGACAGAAAGGTTTATTCCAGTTACCTGGAATAAATCCAGGTCATTGCCCAGCAATAGGGCCTCTCTGTGTGATAACTCTGATAGTAAGTGTGATAGTAAGCGCTTGGCTTCTCTTGATGTTTATTTCTCTACTGGCTAAAACTTGCCAGTCCTTAGTAAACCAGAGTTCATCAAGTATAGCAACGACACAAATGAAACCTTTTGCATTAAGCAAGTTGGAATTCTTTTTTTTTTGGAGACAGAGCCTCAAGCTGTTGCCCTGGGTAGAGTGCTGTGGCATCACAGCTCACAGCAACCTCTATCTCCTGGGCTCAAGCGATTCTCCTGCCTCCGCCTCCCAAGTAGCTGGGACTACAGGCACCCACAACGCCTGGCTATTTTTTTTTTTTTTTTGGGTTGCAGCCGTCGCTGTTGTTTGGTGGGCCCGGGCTGGATTCGAACCTGCCAGCTCAGGTGTATGTGGCTGGCGCCTTAGCTGCTTCAGCCACAGGCGCCAAGCCACAAGTTGGAATTCTTATGTGACTTAGCTCTCTGAAATTTCATCAGACAGAAGTGAAACTAAGCAGAAAGTGGTTTACTTGGTACTAACACTCCATCTCATATACAACAGGAACTGTTTCCTATATAGTACCATCTCTCAAGGTGTCCAGAATATCTTTTATAGTCTAGGACAGTGATTTTCAACCAGTGTGCCGAGGCACACTGGTGGGCTATCAGAGAATTTTAGGTATGCTGTGAAAATCTTTAAAGATCATTAATTCATTTTCTTTTTTTTTTTTTT